TAATTGGGATGGGAGTGTCAGACAGTGCAATTGGCACAGGACAGAGCAGAGTTTGGGGCTGTTGTACACAGGGTCGTTATGAGTTGCAAGCGACTCGACTCGACGGCACATAAGAACAACAACAACAACAACAACAACAACAATAATCCAATGTGGACAGAGTGGGGTGGAGCTCCCCGAGTAAAACAAGCTTGGAAGGAGGAGTCAGTTTTTCAAAATGACACACACACAAAAGAATTTTAATTTGGGACAAGTTCAAGTATCGATAAAAACGAATATAATTTAATACACAGGTAGCAAAATCAACCACTGTTTCTGTTGAGTTTTTAAAATTATTTTTAATCTCATTCCAAAAAGAAAATTTCTGTAAACAAACACATCTCATTCAATTACTTTTTAAAAACATACATTCAGCAACTTAAAATAGGATTCAATATTTTCATCTTTTATAATCTCAATATATTATATACTTAATATATAATATATGTACAATACATACAGGTAGTCAGCAGGATTACAAAGTAATATTTTTTTAAAAGTTTGATCAGTATTGATAAATATTTTTAGGCTATTATAAAGAACTATTTATGATTCCACAATCAAATAAAAAAAATGGGATGCCCAAATCTAAATTAAGATTGCAAACTTTCATATGGTCAATCAATTTGAAAGAACTTTCAGGTTGGATAAAATACATTTTAAAACAACACTCTTGCTAGTTTTAAGCAGCAGTACTTGTAGATAAAGCAAGTACATCTTCATTAAATTTAAGTAACTATGCAGTTTTCTTTACTGTAATATACAGCAGCTATTTCTTCTTTTCTGTTGGTTTTTAATTGTTGAGTTTAGAGAAAACAGTACCAACAGAAGAGACTTTCACTCCTTCTCTTCCCCAAAATGTGGCTCAGTTTGTAGATTGTTCCATAGGCAACCACTATTATTAACAGTACCTTAATACCATTATGAGCAGCCCATCAATAACTGAAGTCATTTGAGAAGTTTCAAAGACTGCTGGAGGTTACTGTAAACCAAGGTAATCCAGAATTATTACCCTTATAGATAGCTTTCTCACATCAGTTAATACAGAGTTAAAATTCAAATGCCACAGTACAGTAGTTAACAATCTATTCTGTGATTTTAAATATTATAATATTAATTCACCCTGAGAATACAGAGGAAACATTTAAAACAAGAAGATACTCTGATATGCTTAATATTTCTTTCTTCTGGTTTTCTTCAACCCTTTAAACACACAAACATTTAAAATGTGACGCACATATTCTTTTTTATTAATTGAGATTTATGCCACAGTCAGATACTGGTGATAGAAAAGCCCAAAAAGGCTCGTAGAAAAGAGGCAAGCAGCAATCCACCATGTCAGAAAAGACAGAAGTCCTCGGAAGAGCAGAGGAGTGAAAATGTTTCTTAAGCTGCCCAGCGCCACAGTTACTTGTGTAACAGTTACTTTCATTTTCCCATCAGCAGATGGTGAGTCAGAGTAAACAGAATTGGAGGGTAGACCATTATCCACTGACAAGGAAGAAATAGTTTCTGGATAAATTCCCCAAGAATGGTTACCTGGAAAATTCAAGACATGAATAAAATTTGAATAAGTCATTTCAAAGCTTCCTAGTTAAATAAAAAAGTAAAAAATAAATTATTCAACTCATTTGCAAAAAACAGAATTCTTTCAACTTGCATTAGGAAATTAAGAACAAAAAGTTTACTGATGTAATAAATTATTTTATTCTGAAAATTATCTGTTTACTTATTTGGTAAATCACTTAACGTGATCAGACTACAGTGTTAAAATATAAGTAGGACAGCACAGGTAGATATCCTAAATTACTTTTAATAAATTTTATTAAGACATGATAAAAATAATTTTCCTTGTATGATTTAACCATCTACACTGAGCAAAAGGATTCACCGCTTCTTAGAAATCTTTTCTACCTTTAGAATATCAGAAAAAATTTCTTTCCTAGAAAACATTTATGAATTCAGTAAGAGAAACTATTAATAGCTTCCAAAAATTTTTTCATCATATACTTTCCTATGATGAATAGGATGAATCACATAATTTACAATTTAACTAAATCTAAGGCTTAGTTACACCTAGAGTCAATTCTATGGTATCTATTCATCTAACCCATATAATTCTTTTAATTACTTTGTGCTTCTAAAACTCCCACATGGTGACAGACTGACTGATGTAAAAGAAATGATCAATATAATAAAAGAATTCCTGAATCATAACACATAAGGACCACATAGTTCAATTAACAAACTTGCAAGGGACTTATTCCTTTCATTGGGAAATCTTTACAACTATCTTTTAATAATTTAAGTATGAGCATTAACAAAATCTTTAAAATAACATTACTTTGAAAGTGAACCATTCTTTTACAGTATGAAAGATACTGACATCAATAGTGCTCACTTAAGATACTCAGTAGCTCAGAATTAAGTTTTCAATAAGCAATTCTTAGAAAGACCTATACAAATAATCTATCAAGGCAATTTCATTGATGTTTCAGAACTCACAGCTTACCCCTCAGTGAGGTTTTGTGACTGTAAATCTCTTGAGAGGAGTTTGCCCATTTCCCACCCCGCCCCGGACCCTGGTGGATCTGAATCTCCAGAGAGGCCTCTTCCTTGGGTTAGCAGAGCAACTCCCTATGAACTACACTACCAGAACTCCCAATAGTACGCAGGCATTATAAGTAGAAAACAAACAAGTTTGCCAGCTGCCAGGCGATGCCTACCTAGTGTTTTCAAAAGGAGAGTTGTATGAAGCAGCATTACGAGAGGTGCCACATACTGCAGTGCAATGACACAGAGGTAATAAAAGACTCGAGCCACCTGTAACCGACAACATAAGGCTGACATGTTAAGAATGAATTAAACTTTCATATTAATTTTGTCAAACTGAATTATGAGATAAGTACTCTTTCCCTGGGAAGTCAGTTTAATTTTATTACATATGCAGTTTATTATAAGTGTGCCATTTTATAAGTTTACAAAGTGTCTCAACTTTTTCAAGTTTGACAATAAGTTTTTAAAATTGTGAATATATTAAGACTAATTACTTAAAAATGGTTCTTAAGTAGCTAGAATAAATTAGGGAAAATAACTCTTAAAATTCAAAAGGCATATATTTACTTATATTTTTAAAGATCAAATGATTCAAATCTCTAAGGGCAACAACCTAAACTATTAAACTAAAAGTCCTATTTGAACATAAACCCCTCATAAATAAAAACATTAAATCTCCATTCAGCATGAATTATGAAGAATATGGAAATAAGAAAAAGCCACACAAGATAAGTTGAATCTTCGTAACTACTCCTAACTATAGAAGAAACGATCAGATTATTATAAAGCCACTCTAATGACAGATTTTGTCTACTTACTTACTTTCTTTGGAATCCCTATTATGTTAAATATTTAGTTTCATGCTTAAGAACATAGAATAATATCAAAAGAATAATTTTAGGCATTAAAACTATTACTTCCTATTTGTTTAAGCCATAAAGTTTGAATAATATATTGCAGTCTCTCACAAACCCTCCAGCAGGTACCAATTTAGCAATAGAAGCACACCATAGCTTTTCAACAACTATTCATATGACAGCTAATGCACTTAAACCAAGAAGAGAAAAGAAGTCCTTTCTTATCACCAACATTTTACTAAGGTCTCTGACAGCTGTCAGTCTAAGACTGTACCAGTCATTACAATAAGGACGTGATGAGATTAAATTATCATTTATTAAAGAAAAAAAATTGTTATTCTTACAATCATTTAGTCAAAATAATGATTTATAAATTATTAAATCAAGATCATTATTTGCTACCTTTCATTTTGACTACAGGACAACTTACCATTTTCTGTAGCTCAATTGTGCTTATTCGTCCTGCTTCTTTCTTCAGCCGATCCACACATTTCCGGGCTAAGTTTAAGTAAGCTTGCATGTGACTAGGCATCATGGCCAACCGCAAAGCGCATAGCAGGATTATTAACCACAGTCGAAGAGTATCAAATGTAGCTTCAGTCATTCTACAGATCAAAAAGTTGATATGATGTTCACAAAGACTCTTATTATGCAATTATATGTTCTAAGATACAGGTGATCTACATTTAAGGCACCAAACCCCTGCTGCAGATCTGCTCAGAGTTATGGCTACTCTCTATTGGGTTTCCTACACTGTATTTTACAACATTTCTCCTTAAACAGGTTCTATTCCTTCTGTTCAGTAGAAATAACTCGTGAAAAGAGGACTATGACACAGAAAAAGTTGCTTGGGGAAATAAAATTTTAAGGCTAACTCAGGAAATAGAAAAAGTAGGTAAGAGGAAGTGAAAATACAGTTTTGTTTGCACTGTTTAAGACGTGGAAGTCACAAATGCTGGAAAAAAGATGTTATTATCAATAGTCTTTTGGTTGTCTTTTTGGAGCGTCAGGAGTTCACATGGCCATTAAAATCCAAGGGTAAAACACTTGTAGCTAGGAAGGAAAATAACATGATTATTTTTATTAGCACCATGCCATGCTAATGGAGAATTAGATTGAGATTGATATTAGGAGGCCAGGAATGTGAGACTGACAATACAACAAAGGCAAGAACTGTTCATAATTTTGTACTCCCCAGAGTTGTGCAAAAGAGAGGCTTGATTGGTAGCACTCTCACTGTAATTATTAATTTTTTTTTAAAAAAAGACTTTCAGGCTCAGAAATAAAGGGAGAATAAAGGAATGAACCAAAGAAGAGAAAAATTATTTTAAGAATTTCGAAAGAGCACAAAGTTTAGGATAAATCATAAAACTGCCCTTCTAATTCAGATTACTTAAGTTGAGAAATATTTTTAAAGGCATTTAAAAAGTTGTTCTTGTGTACCATGCAGTCATAACTGCTTACTCTCCAGCAGGTTTTCAGAGGCAGTAAATCAAAGCGGGAGGAGACTGCAGGGGTTTGAAGCATATGCCTTTGAGTTGGCAATGCAATTCTTTACCACTCTGGTGGCCTGATCCAGGCAATGGTCTTCACAATTATTTGCCATGCAACTGAGGGCTGGACAATAATGAAAGATGACAGAAGAAGGATTGATGCCTTTGAGTTGTGGTCCTGAAGAAGAGTGATGAACACACTGTAGACCACCAGGAGAACAAACCAGGCTGCTTCCTGGAGGCAAGGATTTTGAGGCTTTGACTCACAAACTTTGGGGCTGTAGTGAGGAGGGGACCAGTCCTTGGAGAGGGACATCATGCTTAGAGGGGTGGAGGGACAATCTGGGAGAGGAAGATCTAGGATCAGATGGATTGACTCAGTGACTGGAGAAATGGGATTAGGTCTATCAGAGACGATGAGATTGGCTCGGGCAGGTTTCAAAGCTAGTGTACATAGAGAGAGTTGCTATGAGTCACAGGTGACTTGATGGCACATAACAACAACAAGTTGTTTTGGTGGAGTATCTCAGGGAGAAGCTTGAGCTGGTGGAAGAATAAATGGATAAAGACAGTTGTTTTGGTTTTCTTCTCAGGTAATAAGCACACACTGGGGTTATCACTTACTTCCCCTCCTCCATTTATCGATTTTTTTCAAAAATATAAATAAATCCAAATCAGAACAGTTGGGTAGATTTAAATACATTTCAGAGTTGAAACTGCATTGTAACAATTTTGCCTCTAACTAGAAACAAAGATGCTATCACTAGCTTTTTACTTCATCCTATGCTGCTTGATGAACAGCTCCTTTTTCAATCTACTACATAGACTTAAAATTTAAACAAAACCTGAAAGCCATCTCTCAGTAATGTAATGGTCTAAACATTAAAGAATAGAATGGAGCAGAGTTAAGATGGTACATTTCCCCCCCCTTTCTTCTCCAAAGGGAAAAAGTTTCTTATTTTCATTTCCTTTAAACAAAATAGTCATCATTCACAAATTTGACAAAATTTAGTCAGACTCAAAGAAAGAATGCAACAACCACAAAATTTTGTAACACCAAAAAAGAATTATTCTAAGAATAAATGACATAAAATACATAAAGTATACATTATTTAGCACAGTACCTAAGTGTGTAATGATGGGTGCATCATAAATGCTGGTGTCCTCATTTTACATGAATTAGAAGTTCCTCTGAAATATTATCTAGATTTCAGGATCTTTAAGATTTATTTTTAAATACTGACTGTTAAAAGTGCAAATAAAGTTCACTCATGTGGAAGGAAAGAGTTCTATAGATATTTTCCTAGCACATACAGAAGAATAAACCCTTTTAAAAAATTCTATGATTAATCACTGATTGTACATTTTAAGAAAAGTAAATTTATCCATGGATTTAAATGGCTGGGCCTCTGTAGCAGATCAAGGCTTCTTGGGAGTAGGATGGGTATTCTATTTCTATGTCATCTACGGCTTCAGAAACTCAATAGAGTGTTACTATGAGTTGGTACCAAATGAAAATGAATACGGTTAGGCAGGGATCAAACACTAGTGGAGATTTTAATTTTGATGAGGCAAATAACTAAAAGGAACATTAAGCATTTGTAGCTGGTTGTATTACATGCAGTCTTTCATTTAATTCTTGTGATACCCTTGTGAGGAAGATAAGCAATTATTAACATTGAGTCTGTCCTGACTCATGGAGACCCTCCAACAGGTTTTTTGGGCTCTAAACGGCACAGGATAGATTGTCAATCATTCTTCTTTGGAGTTACTGATGGATTTGAATCCCTAGAAGTGCACAGTCTCTGAGCAAGGAATACACCTCATTACAAAGTATGCCACGAGAGCCACTTGAGGTCGATGCTACTATGTTCATTTTCCATATGAGCATACAGAGTCTCTGTAAAGCTGAATAATGTCACCTCAAATGATAGTTTTAGGGAGAATCAGAGCTAGGGTACGAACTAGATATCTGAATCCTTCCATTGGTTTAGCATAGCTTCACAAAATTAATGAGTTAACAGATTAAATACAATTCTTAATGCCTTTTAGGAAAGGGATTCTATGGTTGGTTTTCATCTTTGGTTAAAACAAAGTATCCCTAACTGAAGAAATATGAACCAGTATCATATTACACTGTTAGGCCATTATTTGTAATTCTGTTAGCTAAAATTATATATTTGTTATGCTGTGATTGTGCATTGGTGAGTCAGAACCAACTCATAGCTGCTCCTCCTCCAAAAGGGGTTGTAGAAGCTGTAAATCACATAGGAGAATATTGCCCATCTTTCTCCTGTATAGCAGTTGTTTAATAAATCTGAACCATATAACTTTGAGTTGGCAGTGTAATTCCTTAACACTAAGTCACCTAAGCCTCATGCTGTTAAGCAGGAAAATGTGTAAAGATGTATATAAAACAGAAGTAAACTGCTATGTCTCCAATTTACTTTAAAAAAATTATAAACAACCAAAAAACGGAGGAAGTAAATATGAAAAATATTAGTAACTTCTAAATATAAGGACTAAGTATGTTTTCATATATATAACTTTTCTCTAACTTGATTATAATTTAAAAATAAATTTTTGAAGCTATTGGATAAAACAGGCTTAATGACAACAGAAAAAGAGATAAAATAACATAACATTAAGGAAAATCTTACCAGTGCACAAATATTAATATAAAAAATATGCATTTATGAAAATAATATAAAAGTTAAATGATGGTCTTTTAACATTTCTATTAATGTTTGAAAAATGTACTATCCTACTTTTAACTTTTAAGACAGTTTTGTTGTCTAATTCAACAAAAATTAGTCCCCAAATACCCATACTTACAAAGGGATGCTTTCTTTTCCCAGAGGTGGGTTCATAATGTAGTCTTTGGTGATTGGTTTTACCCAGAGAAGAACCATAAATAAAGGTGCTAAGAAGTTGATATGAAGTAATATTCTGAAAGTATATAAGAAATAACAATAAATAATTAGAAATGAAACAATATCATAAACAATTAAGTGACAGTGATTAGTCAGCCCCATAATATAAGTGATAGAAGTAGCAAGGCCCATCCTTAAAGGTCTATCATAAATGGTAGATTACATAGGGTAGGGACAATCTACTACAAGTTACCACAGTATTTTCCACCTGTCATATAACTGAGGAAACTCCCAGTACAAGCGTACATAATGTTTAAAGTCCTACACAATTCACACATATTCACCCATTCTTAGGTGATCACAAACATAGCTAAAATTAATTTCTTTATTTTATACATCAAGGAAATATGTATAGGCTCAATACAGAAAGGGGTTTAATTGTTCTCCCAAGTTTTTTTTATCCTATAGGAAAAGACTGTAAAAGAGTTTTCTTATTCTGGAAGAAAGGTAAATAAATGTCCCAGACTAGTTATTACTCTTACAATGCTTTCATAAGCAACCATATTACTGCAAGGTTCAACACACATACGTTTTTAAATATCATTACATCTCCAAATGATAGTAATCTCTGTAAGAGATGGGGTGAGGAAACAGAGTTGGATAAGAAAATCATGAACACTTGACAGAAAATGTAGAATTCTGGGTTCCAGTCTTTGCTATTAAAACAACAACTAGTGCCTGGTCATGAGGGCAAAATAATATGTTCTTTGTGCCAGTTATGGTACTTTCACAACAGAACTAGCATGCCCACACCCTTGTATCAAAACAGAGTGCTACACTGAGATGGGGGAGGGGGTACTGTAATACACTGCAAACAAAACTAACTCCAAATTCCCAAAGGCAGAATTCCTGAGAAGACGTCACAGTTCACTAAAAATGACAGTAAAATGTACCCCTCCCCTCTGTCCATATTAAATGCTTGAAATATTTTCATACAGTGATTCTTTCATGCCACAGTCTGGGTAAACCATTGAGTGCAGGGGAAGAAAAAAGCAGTATTAGGTATGCAGTGTTGCTAGGGAACACTCTAGTATCATGGAGCAGCCCACAGCGGTTTCAGTAGCTTGTGAAGGGCTCCCCTCCACCCAACCTTTTCAGCTTATTTAAATCATAACACTGGGGTTAGTGGACTAGACTGTGTGCACAGAGAGAAGGGGGAGAACTAGGTTTTGTCTTAAAAGAAGCCATTAGAGAGATGGGTGGTAGAAGAAAGGCAGGATGTAGCTAAGAGCATGCTGAGTAAAAAGGAGGGGGGTGGAATGAAGGAGTGTATAGTAGGAGGTGAGAGTAAGTAAACATGCACACAAAGCATATGTAGAAAAATGGAAGTAGGAAAAAACAGAAAGACTATCCATATAAAAATAAAGGAAAAAGGCAAAGTAAGGGAGTTATAAATGATTACTGAAAGCTTTCTATGGGAAAAACAACCGTAGAGAATCAGCATCATTAAACACTGGGCTCAAAGAACAGTAGTGTTAGGAAATACAATTAGGCAAAGAAACATAATTAAGCACATTTATCATAATGCAATATTTTCAACTTGGACTTTCCCTGGAAACCAGAGAGATGAGATGGTAAATCGGACCAGGCTATAAGCTAAAGTAGATATAAGGCTGTCTTTCTGTCAAGGTGTCTAGAAGGGCTTTGAACTATATATATTGTGATCAATATGATTCCTCCATTTAAGAAGCAAAAAATAATTTGGGAGTTCAAAGCAGTGTATCTACAATACAGGTAATACGAAATAGTATTAGCAATATAAAAAACTCGGCAATAATCATAACAGATCAATAACTTAAGGAAGATAAACACCTCTTCAAAATATACAGCCTTTAGTTAAAAAAAGAATTTATATAAAAGATTCTTTAAGGAAAATCTTCTGAATTTTTAAGATATTTTGCCATTGACCCTTACTTAGTTCAGTTGTAGAGATTACAGTATCATGAACATTTCTTTCTAATATAAAAAGACTTAACATAAATGTTGATGTTATCATTTTACCAGGTAAGAGAAATTTAGTAACTGGGGTGGGGGTGGGGGTGTTTACACACACACACACACACACACACACACACACACACACACACACACAGTTTTAAACACAGGATTTAAGAATTAAAAAGTGAATAAAATATTGCTTAGGAAAAAAGAGAAGTAGCTCAACATCAAATGGTTACATGACTATTAATTTTTAAAACAATAATGTATGAGTTCATTACAATAATATACCTTCATTTAGATGGAAAACATATATTAGATGGAAAACATATATTTATCAGCATATGCTTATGTACATTTTCCGCTTACTGTTTAATTTTTCCTGTTGCCAAATTCAGGGCATCCAGATGCATCTGAGCCAGTCGTAATCCAGGAAATGTCAAAAAAGCCCCAATGAGTGAACAGAAAATGGCGAGAAAAAATTTGAAAGTAAGTTTAGATACAGGACCCCTAAAAAAACAAAAAACAAAAAACAAAAAACAAACAGAATAATACAAAGCAAACAAATTAAAAAAGATAAAGGAGTTAATTTTTAAGTTAATTTCTAAGCATTTTCTTCCTTCTAATTAATTCCATTACCAATTAAAAAGATTCTTACAGAAACAATTTTTATTGGAGAATCTATGACAAATGTATGTGAATTACAAACTATACATTTAATCATCTAGACTTGTCTTTAGTTACATTTATAACAAAACATCTACATATTTGATAAGAAATTGATATAAGACAGATAAATTTAGTTTCATTCTGGAGGCAGAAAAAAGATACTATCTTTATAAAGGAAGAATTATGAATAAGATTGTTTCTTGAAGAGATAGTCTCGCTTAAAAAGGAATTATTTTCAGTAATTAAAAAGAAGACTTTAGAGTAAAAACTACCTGTGGTATTTAAATAATGCTTAATTTTTCAAAAACTTACTGAGATTCTAAACCTTGTTTTTCAAGAAACTGCAATGCACTATCTGAAAAATTTGTAAAACCTGTTGGGGGGAAGAAAAAAATTGCTCTTATCATAGTGGTAAAATACAGAATCTTTCTTTAGAAATAAAATGCTGGAAAGCAGAGCATCTTAAATTTTGAAGTGACTAGCTTAGCTCTTTCATGTGCTAATTAGTATGCCATAATGCAATAAAATTTGGTTATTAGCAGAAACAGTCTTTGAAAACATCCCTTTGATATTTGTACATTCCATGAGTGTGAATAAAATTTGCATTAATTCTTTATTTCAGTAAAGTTTTGCATTACAGAAACTTTAAGAAAAAAATGGGGAATGGGAGAAAAAGAAAACAGTATTTTTGTAAAGGTAAACAATAACTTACGGAAACAATCCATTAGGAAGAGCTTATTAAAGAAAGCTTAATATGATTTAGAATACTGTAATAAGAAAATTATAATTTTAAGAAGTCTAATATATAAAATTTACATATGTATTGAAGAAAAAGTAATTTTTAAAGCTGCATGTCATTATTACCTGTTTCAAGTCCAAATTCCAGATAATTTTCTGTTACAATCAAAACAGCCATTGCTTTGACAAAGAAAAAAAATCCAAAGGTAACACAGACTGATCTTTCACCACCATCTTCTACTTTAAAATAGTGTGTAGTTAATGAAAATAGAATTTTCCTGCAGAAGGAAAAGTTCAGGAAAAAGTACAAATATCTTTGTTGAGTTAATCACAACCATCTTTTCATGGCTTGAACGCTAATATAATTTTAACTATAAACTTTGGGGTTTACTTAAAAATATTTTTATAGGTACATTATATATATACATATAGGTATATTAACATCCATAGGTTTGGCTGCAGATAATTCTATATTCACAATTGTAGGTATTGTAAATATATTCAAAGAGTAATGAAAATGAGAAATCTAAAAAGTCAGTGAGGAGTGAGATTACATTTTTATTACTGTAAATATGATTACAGAATAAAATATTTATGTAAGTTGTACTGTAAATCAATTTGCTGTATAAACTCTCACTCAAATTATAATCTTAAAAAAATAAACAAAACTAAGATCATAAGGTGGAGGCTTAAATATTGCTGTTATATTGGTGACTGTGCCACCAATATTTTAAATACCAGTTAACCCATCGTGGACAAATGCCAACAGAGCTTCCAGACAAAGATTAAAGAGAGAGAAAGGATTTGGCAATCTAATTCTTAGGGGAAAAAAGTGATCAGTGAAAATTTTATCAATAGCAATAGAGCATTATATCATTTAGCACCAGAAGAGAAAACCCTCTTGTACAAAGGTACTAAAATAACAATGGTATAGAGCTGCTCTTCAAAGTGAAGCCAACTTTAATTACATGGATAGAATAAAACTTTTTGCATCTTCAACTATGGATATGACATGCTTCAAAATGAGAACAAGATGAAATAATCCTTTAATAGGAATATGGAAAGTACAAGGTAGGAAACAAAGAAATACTGGAAGTTGAAATGATATGCATAAAGACCCATATCCTAGGTACTAGTGAGCTAAAATGGACTGGTATTAGCCATTTTGAATAGGACAAATAGATGATCTACTCTACAGGGAATGACAAATTGAAGAGGAATACTGTCACAGTCATCATCAAAAAGAACATTTCAACATTTATCCTGAAGTACTGCGAAAGAATAATATCTATACACCTACAAGGAAGATCAGTTAATACAACTATTATTCAAATTTAAATACCTAAAAAAGGTAAAAGTGGTTGCCAGTGTGACATGAGATTCAAGGATAGGAAAGAAAAATATGAAACTACTTAAAAGAAAAAAAAAATCAATTAAATGAAAAGGATTTTCTACAAAGAATAATTCTATTTTTTAAAAAGAAATAAGTTCTAATGGAATGAGCTGCAAAAGGAAAGAAAATTCATAAATTCATGATGTTTTGAAGGATACATTGCAAAACTCAAAACAAGCAGGCACCAGACCACACTGATATTCATTTCTTGAGATGGCTTCATAAAACTGTAGTAGACTTCGGTTACTAAATATACAACTGTAGCAGCCACTGTGAAATCCACTAACCACTGGTATTCTGGAAAGTAATGTAGTGCTGAAAAAAAAAAATAAAGTTTATAAGAAAAAAAAAGGTTGTACTTCAACACTTAATAATAGCTAATAAAAATTTATCTATCATTAACTTTAAACCTATTAGAAGACTATTTGTTGATTTGTAATATAAGGTTTACAAGTCTGAAAATGTTGGTAAATATTAGTATATAAAACAAAATTTTAGTAATTGTTTTTAAAAAAGGTTGCCAAAACATGTTGAATTTCATTTATATTAAAGTAAATGGTGATGAATGTGTTGGTATTTTAAGTGATTAAAAT